TCTTAATGCGCCTGATCTATGTATTCACCAGATTTTTGAATGTTATTTTTCAATTTCTCAACCTATTTGATATGTTTTATTCGAAAAAAAAAAAATAAAAATAAAAATAATAATAATATAATTATTGCAGTTAGTCATTAATTGAAATCAGTTGTAAATAATAAATTTTAATGCGGCATTCTACAATTTAATTCATTAAACCGCAGTGTTTGCAGGTAATTAATCAGTAGTAATTCATTTTAAAATTACTGACTTTTTCTTTTTCACTTTTCTCTTTTTTTTTCTTTCATTATTAAAATGTTATTATATTATGCACTGTAAACGTTTTTCTTTTTTTTTTTTTTTTTTTTTCAATTAAAATATTAAAAAAAAAAAAAAAAAAATGAACCGAACACATTAATTATGCAAAAACCATAAAAACTGCATAATAATAAATGCTGAGGTTTTATGGAATTTTATCACATTTTCATTGATATTAACAAATGTTTATAATAATTACTTACCTTATAATAAATGCATTTGTGTGCGTTTGCTTATTTAAATATTTTATAAAATAGTAAAGCAATAAAAAAAACATAAATAATATAAAATTTTTATTCTTTTTCAATCGTTTTTATTCAATCAATTGATTTTTCTGAAACGAAACCTATTCAATGTACAATGCAAAGAAGTGAAATGCAGCAAAAACAACCTCAAGTTAATTTCAAACACTAATTATTTACTAATTACAAGTACAGAGGCCAAACAACTGTATTTGAATAATAATTCTTCAATTTAAGAACAGACTCGCTTAGAAAGCGAAATCATTTAACATCACATTCAGCTCTAGATTTTCTTTACTTTAGGCTATATATCGATGAACTTTCAATATGCTCACAATCGCCAGATCGCTATATAATAGCGTGATGATTTCGTCGATAAGCTACGACAATAGACATTTCATATATGCACGCTACTCTTTTTTTACACGGTAGATACACGCCTTACAAAATTGTGTAAAAAATCGTGTTGGGCCTATCTTCCGCAGATTAAAAAAATCGTATAAGAGGTTAAAACTCGGGATATTGTCCCAAAAACCGTGCAAAAAAAGTAATAATGAAATCCATACTAGTAGGTACGTATCGAACAGAAACAATGCATTTTTATTCCAAAAAAAAATGTGCAGGAAAACTCAATCAATAAGGACAACGGATAAAAATTTTAATTGGAATAAGGAGAAAATATCAATTGCGAAATCAACCAATTTACATCAATACAGATTATAGTGGAAATCTCACTATAGACTTAAGAAAGCTTTAATGTGACCATCAGCTTTTAGAACTTTTTTGAAATTATTAAGTGCTTGCATTAATTTTGGTCAGCGACTTTGCAATCAAAAATGCCAAATTGATGCTATGTACAAGTGCACATAACGGCGAAATTGTGGAACGCTCAAAACCTTCATTTGCCTTCATTGCTTGCCAGGCAAAATGGAAAAGTTTTCTGTGACCCATTGTGACTGGTGATGAAAAGTGCATCTACTACGACGATCACAAGCCATAAATAAATCCATTCTTGCTATGTTGCTATAGATATATATGAGAGGACAGTCAAAAAAGAGAATTAAAAAAATGTATTTTTTAAATTCGTGCTTGAACAAAAAATTCGTGTAAAAAAGTGTATTTTTTCTTGTTGTTGGTGAACCGGGTTATTTCAAAATTCGTGTAAAAAAAGAGTTGCGTGTTTTTTTATGTTATGTTCGTGATTGGTGTAATATTTTTCGTCAATTCTACTGAGTTGAGTCTACGTACCTTCTCATTCTTAAGTCAAGCTGAATTACTAAGGCGAAGTTTGAAAATAGGCAAGGCAGGCTACCTGTCCTCTACAAACAAGTCTTGAAATACGTACTTTTATTAGTACAATATTAGCTCTTATAGAGAACAACTTTCGGGCATATAAAGACGGTGAACGCCTTTTGCGCAAAACCGTTGTTACTTTATTAGGGATTTTTTTTTTTTTTTTTTGGGACTTAATTCAATTTGAATAAAATCATCAAGCACTATTTATATTTTAATTTTGGCATTCCATATGCAAATGTGCCGATAAGTTCTTTCGACCAACAGTTACGACCAATGTAAAATGACCAATGTAAAACGATATTGTACGCTATGATAACTACGAATGCGTAATTGTACCCTACTGTCGAGCGCTCATATGTGCATTTGCTTTGTTTATTGACTGTTGTACTATTAAACATATGTAGAGACAAGATGAGAGGGGGATTCACTATGAATATTAAATTATCTTTGTACACATCACCGAAGGATGATGTTACCCTAACGTTTGCAACATCCAGAAGGGAGCTTCAGAGAGCCCATAAAGTATGCGTATTTTTAATCAGCAACAAATTCTGAATGCCTTTTGGTAAATATTCTCCTGGTCGCAAATATGGAGACATTATTAGATTCAAATTTATACAAACAAAGAAGTTTTAGCAAGCAGATTGGCATTGAAAATGCGCTAAACCGGTTAAAAGATACACCCACACTACCACATAAACTGCCCTCCTGTATTCCTAAAAAAAAAAAAAAACATCTTTCTGTTTTCGATGGCTACTGACAAATTACAGCAGAAGATAAACCTATCAAAATTTGAACGCATGGTGTATGGGCGAAAATGAAAAAGGTGCCCTCATCCACCCAGCAAGGCTTCACATTGCTTTGACTTGGTACCTAATACCATATCCGTATGGCCATATATGTGGTACCTGTGCTAAAAATTCTAAATCAGTCCCGCCCTCCCAATATGATAAAGTGTGAAAATGGAGTTCTTTCGGTGATGCGTATAAAAGATTCGGACACAACCGAATATAATTTTCTTATTCCCCTTCGATATACGAATCACATTGCAATTATGGTTAAACGTCAGTTAAAGCTTTAACTTGAATATCATAAAAAGGACGGAAAGTTTTTAATTTATGTTACCGCAGACCGTTTAATTGACTAGAACTTGCTGGCGCATCTGGTTCAGAATGTATATATATATATAGAAAATATTTGCATTTATATGAAAACTTATATCTTAAAAGTCATAATAAAATGTTTAAATAATCGCAACATTAATAAAAAGTATTACTCCATTCCTCCACTAAAATATTCAAAAACTGTTTGGCAATAATTTTAAAGTTTCTTGTTGTTTTCTTCTTTTTTTTTTTTTTGATTTTAATTAAAAATCACAGCTTTTCATAATCAAATGGTCATCAGTTTTTACTTATTACCCTACACCGTTCATACAATAAATACTATTATAACTTGGATGAATTTTTATAAAATAACACGAAAGCAAAAACAAAAATAGAGACGGAGAGACAAAAGCAATTATGATTTCAATTTAAACTCTGTACATATATATATATATATATATATATATATATATATATATATATATATACATGTCGTATTAGCATTTATGTATGTATAATGTGTGGAGCATCCTTTTTAAAACAATAATCTTAGAAACAATAATAATAAGAGTAATTAGATAAAAAAATAAAAAAAAAGTCTCAATTTCTGCAATTTTATATATGTATGTATGTATGTATGTGTATGTAACGCCTAATGTTTTATGGTACTTTTCCTTATTCTTTTTCCTTTTTTTTTTTTTTTTTTTTTTTTTTTTTTTTTTCGTTAATTGTTCCATATATTAAAAGAATTTTTTATAATACTTTGTGTTCAGACTTGTGTTTTCTCACATTTTTCGTTCCGTATTTATGTGTATGTAAGAACTTATAACTCGATTAAATGCGTAGAGGAGTTTCTTT